GTGGGGTGTGTGTGTATGTGTGTGTGTGTGTAAAACATATATAAATTCTGAAATATCAAAATATAATGTCATATTCAAAGTGCAAACTTAAACTCCTTCAATCTATATCAATTATATTTTTATATAAATCTGATTTTTATGTATACTAAACAATAAGAAAGTCAATATTAGAAATAATTTGTGATAATTTTCTCTCATAAAGAGAGATGATATTATTTAGAACTATTTTATATTTGATATGATAAAAAGAACTTAGAATTAGCACAAGGAAAAAATTCCCAACAAACTTTGAGTATTTATTACGTATTTTTTTCTATTTTTTCTTTATTTGTATTTGCACGATTTGCATTTAACGATTTCTAAAATCTAGAAGAATCAGAGTGAATTTTCAAAGAATAGTTTAATTTTTTTTATCTATTATCTTATCTTGAATTTTTATTCTTATCTTGAATCTCGATGTTTAAAAAGAGACGTAAGCATCTCAATATAGTTGTTTCTAAGCAAAATTATAAATTATTTTTGAATATATAATACATATATAATATATATAATATGTATATTACGAGAACATAAGAAATTAAATTAACATTTAAAATAAAGCTTGTAATATATCTCTTGCACTTTTATTTTATTCTTACCATAATGTCTTTAATATTAAAAAATGTGATAAGTAAGAATTTATCAGTGTCAATAATTTTGCAAAGCATATTCGCGCAAATAATTATATTTGCACCAACATCATTTTATTACATCTCGTGCAAACTCTCGATAGGATAATGCATGCGCGTTCTCGCAGTGCAAACGTATGCTTGGAACGAATAACTGATGCCTTCAAATTAATAAAATCATAATAATTGAAGAAGCAATTGTTCATATACATATAAAGGGAGTATTTTAATAACGTTGGCTCAAATCCTAGATGACCAAAGACATAAAAATAAAATAATTTTATGCATATGGTATATTTTTATTGCACCTTTATACTTGATTCTTCAATTAATAAATTAATCAATTATCGGTTTTGAATACGCTGGCAAACTAGCTGAAACATAAAATTTACTAAAGGGCGGCAGGATATTTTCGTAGCATGAACAATAAAATAGGGATGGCAGATGGTTGGTGAGAGCGATCATTTTATTTTTCCTTGATGTTTCCTCGTGTATCTTCAAGCAGAAGCCAATCTCTTTCGGAGTTGATATACCAAGCAAAACATTTCATGACTTGTTCGCTGCAAAACGCAGCATCGCACCAAGACATTGATAACTTGACAGTGCGTGAAAGCTCTTTCGCTCAAGGTGCAAATGTCTCCATTTCATTCCGTGGCAGCGCATTCCAAGCTCCGATCGAGACACGATGAGCGATTTTGTTGAATTATAATTTTGATTTTTAATTTTACATTTTTTCGTTATTTTATGTATAAGTACACTTGCCTTATTTCTTCTTTTTGTATATCAATCAAATAATATATGGACGAAAAGAATGCCCGATATAAATTAAGTTGATATTCAGCGTTATCGCTCTATAATTCTGTAAATCAACTCAATTACATTATTTTGTATATTCTCTATTTATTTTTTGTATCTGATCTCTAATATTTTATATATATCGTTTCTATATTACATGTACATCGGTTCACTTATTTTACATATTCATATACTATATTTTATACATTAGATTCAGAATATCGCTTCTTAATATGATATTATCATGCTAATATTATATTATGCTTCAAGAAGGATTTCGCTGAATTTATTTTCGGAGAATACTGTATTTTTTTTATCATGTGATCGTACTTTCGTCGCGTTGTATCGGCGGGGGTACAACCAGTAAGCGGTCCAACATCGAACATCGCAAGCTTGTGTGTGTTTTATAATGCCTTGTGCTGGTGGATGTGTCGAGGGATCTCGGGGAGGTCTGTGTCCATCGTCGAAGGTCACACGATGTGGGACATACAAAGCCTCTGTGAACATTGTGCATTCGGCATCAATGGAAGCTGCGTGACAAGGATAAAGAAAACGCCAAAAAATTAAGGAGAATGGGAAGGAAGAATGAATTTAAGGTTACATACTTAATCATGCTTCAATCCCTGCGATCTATCGTATTTTCATAATTATATATCAGAACTTGTTACACACAGCCGATTTATTTCATCTAATGATCGAAAATGAAAGGAAAAAGACACACGCACATGTTAGCATACAACTATGGATATTGATTGGTAAGAGATATTGAATCGACATATTATAAAAACACATGAGTCACAACGAATGCGTATAACCGTATTTTCCTATGATATTCGACATGGGAATACTGCATTTCTATTCCAAGTAAATCATGATGAATATTCGATGGATCGCACGGAAAGAGAAGAGGAAGGATATTGGATTCGACTGTTCCGACGTGGACAGTTCCTCGATTAAACCGGCATTTCTGAAAGGATTGGTTACAAGTAGAACAAAAAAAAATACAGTTTCGCATTTTATTGTTAATGATAAATAAATAACACAATTATACACATATCCATAAAAAAGTTAAGAGAATGAAGATTGTAAACGTTTACATTAGGAAAAAAAGGATGCGTAAAAATTAATATAAAAAAGAAAAACTGCTCGAGAAAAGTAAATTTCATAAATATTTATAAATTCTAAAGAAATAAAAAATTCCAAAAATTGACTTACTGGTATACACATAAATATTAAAGCAAGACCGAAGAAATAAAAGATAAGATAATTCGTAATTTGAATAG